AGTTCCTTAAAAGCAACCCAGCAATTTTTGCGAGGTGGGCTCAGCGAGCTGAGCTTTGGCTTCGCGGGCTCAGGTCAAGGGCCAGGGCATCGAGGCCTCCTAAGCGTGGTACCACGAAGTTCCCCGCAGGTGACGATGAGAAGAGCCGCCGAAACCTCAGCCCACATAGCTGCTGAAGAGTCCACTACAAGAGACTGCTTTCTGAGGTGAGTTCCAGCGGTCATCTGCACCACCCGACCGTGAGCCCGACATGTTGCAGCGGCTCAGAGTGCAAACGCGGCTTGGCAACGCCTCCCAATGCAAAGCCTCCTGGCAGGCTGTGTTGGCCTTGGACAAGGGACCGGAGGGCAAATTTCGAGGAGACAAGCAGCACGTTCATGACGCTCATGTCTTACAATCTAGATCTCATCTACCCCCTGCCAGACCAGCTTTCACAAGGTTGTGAGATTGTTTTTGCTTTTCCTTCGCCGCTACGAAACCGCAGAAGCTGCCTTGGACTGGTGGGCGCGCAGACTCTGAAAGACATTCGGGCAGGCTTCCAGGCGCAGGCTCCGAGCATTGCCATTGCAGTCGCAAGCTGGCTGCCTCATTGAGACTACGATGCGATAGATTCAATGGTAAGTAGAAAGCCTTTCTGCGCTGACACACAGGTGAGTAAGGAGGTGGAGCCAAAGCCTCTGGGGGCCATGAGCCCCTCGAGCCTTGCTGTCAAAGCAGCAGAAAGGCCTGCCTGTTGCCAGAAGTGTGTCGCATGGAGTGGCCCTGCAGTCAGGGCTGGGCTCCCCGAGAACAATGTGGGACAACCAGAAGCACTCATGTAAACTTGCCCGCTACCACTGCCAGTGCTGCTGCTGCTGCTGATCATGCTGTTGTTGGCCTCTGTGGTGGTGATAGTGATGATAGTCACTGATCGTCATGAGCGGTGGCGGCGGTGGTGTTGAGCGTATTTGTTTTTCACGATGGCAGACTGTTTTTCAAAGAAATCTTCGACCGGCAGTGCGACAAACCAGAATGATCAGACTTGCAAAAACAGCGATGAGGTAGAGTTTTCCTGACGCTGTTGAGCTAGGCTAGACGTGATAGTCATCGGCAAGGCAGCAGCAGCAACAGCAGCGGTTGTGCATGGTCGTGCCTGATGACCAACTTGCCCAGGGAGACGCCCATCTCGCCACACTCTCCATCTGCAACACCCAGGGTGCAGGTCCCAGTCGCGCCTGGGAACAGCCTCAAGTCATACAGTTAGTGTAGGGTTTAGGGGGTTATATAGTATATTATAGTACATTGGGGTAGTATTGGGATAATGAAAAAGAAAGTGGAAGCTAATGTATTTTGCACATATTTACGCTTGTGGGGCTGAATTAATCATGGAGAATCGAGTTGTCCATGTTAGCAGCGGCTCTGGTGATGACAATAGCGCCTGCGACTTGTCCAAATTTAGATCCAAACAAGATCCAAATATGATCCCCCTTAAGCAGATTGAACATGGGTTTGGGTATGTTTTAATGAGATCCGCATATACCCCATATTCTATCTGCTTTAGGGTGACTATATATCCACAAAATCTAGCTGCATGCAAGGCTGCTGTGACGGGTGCCATGTTCAGCTTCTCGGAGCCACAGGGGCTTGGGCCCCAGATTCCAGCTGCACTAAGCCTCTTCGACTACTTGGGTTGCTGTTAAGGAACTTAAGTTACCATAATGGGTATATATAGAAAATAATAGGGTTTCCCAATATAGTAACTTAATTTAAGTTCCTTACCAGCAACCCAGCTATTTGGGTTGGGGCTTCAAAAGATACCCTCGCCACTTGTGCTACTCGGATACAAAGGCATTATAATTAGAAGGATGACCTAAAGATGTCTAGTTAGATTACGGTATAAAAATCCATCAATGCAGGATGTGGTACAGCCTCCTGGTGAACGACATGGGCCCATCACCTCAAGAGGCTAGGCGCTTTGCAGACTTAGGGGGATTCTCAAAACCACAGGTACCGTTTTGGGACCCTACTGCAGTTAGAGCTGTACTATTGCGTGTAAGGGCTGCATGTTGTGGGTGTGAGACAGGGTCCGATTCCAATACTTGTCTCGTGAAGAGTCATCTTTTTCTGCCCGTCAGAAGGTTGGGCGAGACCCATTCTGGACTTGGTCTGGCTCCTGTTTTTCCTTGCTCCCCGCCTTCCCTGCGACGATCTCAATGTGTCCGTAGAATTTTCAGCATTTGCGATATAGTGTGGGGCATCAAGCAGCATCAGCTACTCCTGGCGAGAGTGCCCATCTGAAGCAGCTGGTATCATGAAACTGGGTTGATCAGAACTGTCCTGTCCAGGACCTCGACAAGGTGGTCTCGCACCGCTGGAGCTTTCAAGGCGGGCGACGGGGCTCATCAGCAGGTGGGTAGGTTACAACATGAGGGTCCCAGCTTCGTACCTCCAAATACTGGTGCCAGATTCCAGTTTGTACCCAACGAGAATCCACTATTTCGAGACTAATTAGCTCACATGTTAATGTTAAGAATTGACAAGACAGCTTTGCCAGAAGAAGCATGCTGAGGAGGCGTGCTGCGGAAAGTGGTTGCTTTGTAACTTTTTTTCGCTGAACTTCCGGTGAGAATCGGCATCCATGCGCGTGTGCATTTTCATGGTCAGGGCCTTGAATGCTGGCATGCGCACGTTTTCTCGTGGAAGCGGCAGTAGGATCTAGCGCATGTGATCGGAGTAGTTGCCAGAGTCTTGCGAGCGTGTTAGGTGCTGCTGACCTGAATTCCATAATTTCATGTTGATGGTGGTCATTTGAGACGGTAGCTGTTGTTGACCCGCCAGAGCTTCCTGATGGCTTTCATACCTTTCAATCCTTTCAGTGCATGGAAGAGATGAAAGACCAGAATGAAAAGTGACTGCTCTTCCGCTTCCACGTGCTCTTCCTCAGGCTTCCAGAGGCAAACTGGGGGGACCCCAAATGATCCCAATATAGACCCCAAAATAATATAATCCCTGCTTAGGGGACCCCCAGAAACGGAGCTCTAGTTTTATGCAACACTGATCCATACAAACCACTACATACTCCCAGTGTCCACTCCCCCGCGTATATAATCCGTATAATTCCCTAGACCCCAAACCCTACACCCCAAACTCTAAACCCTAAACCCTAAAAATCCTAAACCCTAAACCCTGAATCCTACTGATATTTCCTGGACAATTTCCAAAATGCTCCACCGGCAGGCGCTCTGGAGCTCGCCTCGTCGTCTTGGCTTGTGGTGCTTGACAACTTCAAGATAAAAGGGAGCAGAGCTGGAAGCTTTAGGACATTTAGGGCTTTAGGCTTTAGGGTTTAGGCCTTAGGGGGAGGATGTAAGGCAGTTAGGGATCTAGGGTTTTCCAGTTTAAGGGGAGGGTCTAAGTCATATAGGGATTTAGGATCTAGAGCTCGGGATAGGGGATGAATGGGCAGCAAAGATCCACAAACCCGCTTGTTCCACAAGATGGACTCTTAGATGTACGGGTTTCCCAAAACTATGGGTACCACTTTGAAGATCCGTATAGTCAGGACAACAATATTTTGGGATCTATATTGGGGTGCCCTATACCGGGAAACTACCGTGTCCCCAAAGCTTCAGGAGTTATTGATTGCTCGGAGAAAGTAGGTCATGTTGATCTTTGGCGTAGCCCGTACACAACTGGATGCAACAGATTTCAAGCCTACTGATTTGTCATTCGCTACATTCCTCAGGTGAGAAGCAAATTATCCCGACCGTCGCTGCTTCTTTATTTGCGCAGCCAGGCAAGGAAAGAGTATTTGCTACTTCATCCTGCCTGGGGCCCCAGCAAGGTGGTTGCCTGTTCCGGGTCATAGGAGAACCCTCTATAATGAGACTGGACTACTGCTGCTTCTTCGCTGTCGTTTCTCTGCTTGCTACTGCTACTAGCCTACTAGCAGGTGCTGCAAGTGTCGCAATCGAAGCCCCGCACACTACGAAAGCTATTTGCGGCTTGAATTTTGTCAGAAGTCCGTTGAAATAATCCTGAAAGCCAAAACGTTCATTGCATTTTGTTGCTGCCTCTGTGTGAGACTTCAAACCCTACCGAAGTCCTCGTGAGAAAGCCGCGACTCACGATTGAAGGTTAGGCCCTAGCGACAGTGCAAAGATGTTTAGGGCTTGTACTTCAAAATGCTCACGTGAGTTGAAGACGTGCAGACCAAACATATCCGTTGATCGTAAGCCCTCAAGTGTGTGGTCAAGAATTCTGTGTGGCTGAGGTGCCTGCTGGAGATCCAGAGGAATATCCAGATGGACCAGGCTCTTTAGAAAGACATGTTGGGAATTATGCGCTTTAGCGATGTTAGGGTAAGGCTTAGCCTTTAGAGGTTTAGAGCTCTGCAGTAGGGTCTGAGATTCAGGTCTCTTTGTCCCGGGAACAAAGGGGTTGCTGAAGTAGATCCGCTTGGCCGCATGCTGATAATTTGCAAAGGATAGTAACCTCAAAAACCCATATAACCCCAATATACTATAGTTGTTTCCATTTGATTTTCCATTATCCCTATATAACCCCAATAAAAACCCTATATATAAACATACCTGAGGCCTGTAACCATGGAGAAGCTGGAACGACAACCACAGATCCCACGAAGCAGATCAAGAGGAATCCTAATCACCATTCCCAGCAATCCTAATCCCGAAATCCTAAACCCTAAGCCCTGGCCTTGTGCGCAGAGAGCAGATGGCATCATCTCACCTGCCAGTGCTTTGGCGAACTAATGTAGACCCATGATTAACAAACCCCCCCGCCGTTTACAGAGCCTTAATACTAGCATCCCTACTATAATCCCATTATCCCTATATAACCCCTATATAACCCCAATTTACTGTATAGTAGTTTCCATTTTCTTTTCCATCATCCCTACTATAATCCCTACTGGGGGGGAGGGAGTTTATTAATCACGGGTCTGGGTTGTGCTTTGTGCCAGGAAGGGGAGGCTCTGCATCCGAGCCTGTTGGATGCGTGCTCCTGGCAGTGTCATTACCTGGAACCCCCCAAATTGTGGGTGAAATAATAGCCCAAAACTCTCAGAAATAGCCCGAAAGGCCGTCATTCTACATACTTTTGGGGTTCAGGTATTCGAGGTAATAGCACAAGCTTGTTGTGAGTTGCAGGGTTGTTTCTCTTGGAAAGATCGCTGCCAGGTGCAAGACGTTCGTGCGGTGCCAGTGCAGGGAAGGGAAAATGGGTGAGATGTACCAGGCACATCTCACGCAGTTTTGGCTGCTGACGGCACTGTCCTCGATTCGGCGGACAGGTGCTTACGCATTTCATCAGCAACTCCCTGATTTTCTTCGAGTGGGAGAGGCAGGGAAGCTTTAGTTCAAGTTGTGCGTCCCATCCAAATCCTTTAGATCGGAGAGTTGGGTGAAGTCAGCTCTTCACGTGCTTCGTTTACCTTACATTGCCTTACATTTGCATTTGCCTTTCACACGAAGGGACAAGAGTCAAGCCCAGGTTCTTGAACGAGATCTTCCAAGATGCGCGAGCCCACCAGGAGGCCAATGAATGCATGGAAGACAGATCGTTCAATCGGCACCATGGAGATAATTTTGATTATGGGGTGTACTTGACCAGGGTGATTTGAAGACTCAGCTTGAGGCGCGCGATCTTCAGAAGGGAGAGGGCTATCCACTCCCAAACCCCAAATCCTACTTGGGGATATCATCCAAGGAACGCCGATTCAAGAGTATGGTATCTGAGAGAAGACTAGGAGCAGACGTAGGGTCCCCTACGGCATGACATATTCTGACGGATGCCCATATCAGCTAACATCAATAGTTTGAGCTATATGCACCCATACTTCAGCCAGTTTCTGGTTGTGCCCACAAGTATAACGCGAGGCCTCCAGGTTTCTATCTGCGAGTTTCCCGGAAAATGCCTTACTTCAGAAGGACCCCGGAATGATTACAGTGGGACGGGAAAGGATGGATATCGATACCCATGCTTTGACCCTCAACCCGAAACGAAGCCCCAAGGAATAGCTTTGCACACAAAAGATCCAAACTAAGCCGATTGGAGAAGCTTTCTGCCATAGCACTTTAGCCCGGGACTCTGCTGCCAGCGCTTCCTGGCGATCCACCTCGAGCAAGTTTGGACGAGATACAAGAGGCCGTCCTACCTGAGGTGCTGCTCACTTTCCGCTTCTCCTCTTGAGGAACATCCACAAGAGTCCCACGTGTAGGGGTCGCTGAGATAAAGGGTGCCTTGGCTTTTGACACGAGATACATGTCGTTGCTTCGTATTTGAGATGAGCTTGGTGTAATGAACCCTGCAGAGTGTTTGGCGGCAGGACATTCGTCTTTGTGCAAGTTGTCACAAACCCGAAGTGCAGAATGGATAGTGTACAAAACAGCTCGCTGCTCCTATAGAGGTCCAACAGTCATCTTTGACTATTGCTTGTCCTTGAAGTGACACGTGAGTGCTCTGATTCGGAGTGGGTTAGCTCGGAAACGGGATCCCACCGATGACAGCACCCTGTCACCCTCTCATGGAAAGCTTTGGTCAAGTGGTGTCTTGGGTTGTAGCTTATCAGCTTATCCCTGAAGAAGTGGAGCAGTGTTGCTGTCTAGCTAAAAACCAGGCGAAGGTGTGAGGCAGAGCAACATCAGTTTAGAAACATGCTTTCTCAATTTTAAACGTGCAACTCATCTATCTGTGGCTTTTGGAATATTGGGCTGAAGCCTTAGACCCCATCCAGCATCCCAGACCTGTAGCCCCAAACCAGTCGCAGGGAACCCTGACAAAAACAAGCATTAAATCTCCCAAAGTCCTCAGGCCTTGAACCACCTTGAACTCCAAAGGTTGCCAGTAGCCGAATGTAGAGATCCGTCAAGATCACAGCTCAAAAAAACAATACTTCGGGAGGCTGAAAGATATCCTTGAAGCCATGTTCGACTACCTGGATGCGAACTTCACTTGGCGCCACCGCCTTCCGAAGGCAAGCTCGCTGCCAGCATGACTTTCTGTACGTTAGAGCAGTTCTGCCAAAATGCACCACTAGCCTTTTGTGCTCATCTAAGACATACTGACAGACATGGAGGCAGCCGTGGCCGGGCAAAAGCCTGACTAGCAAAATGTTGTTTGCACATGTGCGGTCAGTGACTGCCTTCAATTCCCTTGAGTTAGTCCGGTGCTTCTGAAGAAATAGACCTTGCTAAGACCGAAGTTCGACATTCCTTCCTTGATCCATTTTCTTGAACGCCATCCATGTTTGAGATCTTGCCTCTCAGCACATGCTGGTAGCTCAGGCTTTGCCCCTGGAATAGTCTCAGCCAGCAATTCTGAATATCAGCTTGCCTCACCCCAAGGCCAGGCACCTTAAAAAAGTTGTTTTTTTGGATGTGGGTGATCCTCCCATAGTGCCGCGACAGTCTTCAGCTGAGAGGTTGGGGAGCTGGTCCGAGATCACATGCGCAGGCATTATTTGATCTGCAGCTGCTAGGGTAAGGGTCGGGTTGGGGTAAGGGGTGTAGACAGAGCCTAGTGGATTTTGAGCTGCTGGGTTCACCAGGGTGCAAAGCTGATCCGTTCAGGCTGTTTTGGTGTGAACCTGCATGCAGTTCGAAAGCTAGAGGTGAAGAATTCTGGGGCAGAGAGGTGCAGCGAGAAGCACTTTAAATGGGGACATCTGCTTGGAACGTCCTTGACAATCCTTCATGAAGAATTGTAGAAGGCGCCTCAGGGGCTGCATCAGGCTTCCCTGTTGGGACATGTTCTTCGAGTCAATGTGAAGCGTTTGGACTCCAGGGGTTGACCAAATTCCGGTAGCTGTAGTATTTGGCAGTCGTGAGCAGACGAGAACACATCCTACAAAGTTCAGGTGCCCAAAGAAGTCATCCATAGGGCAAGGCCTCAGAATTTCAAGCTTTTCATCATTAGCTCCTAGGGGTAATGTCAAGACCACCAGTCGGTCTGCACCAAATGTTTCAGGATGTAACTTCACCCAAGCAAACATCCTAAAAATGAGACATCCCTGAAAACTGCAAGAAGGCGCTGCTTTTCTTCAACCGTGATTGCGAAGAACGAACTTTTCTCCGCCCAGGCGCTTTGCCTTGTTGGCTCGTATGTGTGCCTGCAAGAGTGGCCATGTGGCCACGTAATGTTCGTAATGACGGGGCTGATCGCAATGTTTGGGATAGATGGATAGCGAACGCTTCTTGCCAACTGCAGCTCAGATGAATCTGAACTCGAGTCAGCAAGAATCATCATCACAATACGAGTATTGCCCACGGGAATCTGCTGCTCTCTCCTGGCAGGGCGGGCGAGATGAGACGCTAAAGCAGGTGAAGTTTACAATGGGCTTCGTGACATAGTTTGCTCCCCTAGGCTGATGCCTCTGTTGTTTACAAATGCTGGGAACATTACTTGGCGTTGCAATGTTATCCTAGTGCCCTCATCCTAAATTAGAATGGGCCCGTAGCAGCTAACCACCCCTACAGGGCAGAGGCATCCGAGCAGGGCCCAAGGCCTGCACAGAAGGATGACAGTGCTAGCTGAGCTTTATCCCGAAAGCGAAGGCGTCAACAGTGAGATGTGTTAAGAAAGCGAGGATTATAGCAATCATAAACTCAACAAGCGCTTGTAGGCTGCGATAGCAGTTGCAGTAGTAATGAAAGTAGTAGCTGGGCGCTATGCCATGCTGAAGCAGAGCACCCGTTGCGCCACGGAACTTGCCAAATGGCAAATCTGTCCAGCGGGGGCAGGGGCCCAGACATGTAGGACTCATTGAATATCTACTCAAAATTAGGGGTCCCTACTGACCCTAAACCCTAAACACCATTCCACAAGTGATTTAGGGTCGGGCTATAGGGATCCCTATTTTTGAGACATGGCCAGCTCAGGGGTCGTGTGGGGCACAAAACAGCTCTGCCTTGTGCAATTGCCATGCTGTAAGCCTGACTGGGGGCTAGTATGCAATAAGGGGACAGATTATATAGGGAGGGAATATATTCCCTTCTTGTTCAATAACTTACTCATACCCACCAGTGAGGTAAGCACGCTCTCTTTGTTGAGTTGAGGGGCTGAGGGGCTGGGGGCCGCATGTTCTTTGTCCTTGGCAGGGCTCTGGGCTCGAGATTGACCTTCAGTCTTCAGCTCAAATGATGCAGTATTCTTTACCTCCTCTTGCCCGGATTGGGCTTACCGTGTGGCCATTCATTGGCCTGGCTTTCGGCACAACAACTGGCAAAGACTGTGCATCAAACGCGGCATCCCTTCTTGCCGTGAAAGCGGAAACACACGTGGCCGAGCTCGCCTTACTTGAGGATGCACCCATCAATTTTACGAATGGTTCGAACGCATCCATTAACGAGACGCTCGAGGGCTTAGTCAGTAACAACATTGTACAGAACATGAAGGAGATCAAAGCCTTGCCAAACCCGGAGAACCGCAGCAACAGCAGCAGCAATGGCACTGATTTCAATGGCACTGCCAACGACACCAAGAATGGCACCAGCAATAGCTCGAATGGCACTGCTGGGGATACCAATGGCACTGCGGGCAGCCAGCGGCCGAAGCATGGTTTCGGAGAGCTCGCAGTGAACTTGGAGTTCATTACCCTGAAGTTAGCGCAACTGGAAACGGTCGCGGAGCTTCAACAAGTTGAGATCCACAAGCTCCTCGCGAAGGTTGATGAACAGGACGCGCAATGACACCTCACCCATGCTTGATTGGTTGAAAGAACTGCCACCTGCGTAGCATTGAAGGACCAAGAGATCAAGAAGCTGAAGCAGGCTCGTATGGCTTTCTCACTGCTTGATTATAGGAGACTTCACTGAAATTTGTGGAAGTTGTTGGCATCCTGGCTGTCAGACCTGCAATTAGGATTTATGTAGGGTTCAGGGTGTTGGGTTTAAGGCTTAGGGGTGCAAATCATGCAAGCTGTATTAGACGTCCGTGCTAAATGAGCGGCTGATGGAAGCGTGTCAGCGACATCACGAAATATCACGAAGCTGAGAAGTAACACCGGCCTTTGGGTATGTGGGTGTGCGTGTAGAGTGTACAGAGATATATGGGTGTGCAATGTGTAAGACAGGTACCGTCCAGTCCGCTGCTCTTTGCAACACGAGTCCGCAAACAGAGCATCTGCAGTCTTTGTGAGCACCTCTGTGGATTGGGTAGATCAAAAGAGCTGCCCAAAGAAATCCCAAGCAGCCCGAATCGACCTTTCGGGCCCTTTGCTTGGAGACTTCCCTGAAAGTTGGAGGCGCAGACTGGCGCGGCTCCTTCACCGCCGACGTCGTCCCTTTCACAGGAATCGAGCCGAGCCCGAGTGGAAGAGGCGCAGAAGGTCTTCAAGAAGGTTGTGCAGAAGCACTTCCATCAGCGCCAGAAGAGGGAGTTTGTGACTCCGTTTTCAGGCAGGCTCTCGCGGCCCTTGTGTTGCAAGGCTTTGATCTTTTGAAACAGTCATCCTTTTGAGGCACCACCAAGAAGGCAGCCAAAGAGAGCGGTGGGCCGAAGTCCGCCAAGAAGCAGGCCCGCCAGGCCCGCCAGGCTCCGGCAGCGGCTCGGGAGGATCGCGAGGCTCTGCTGCAGCGGTCCACCTCCAGCGGCGAAGGCCAAGGCGAGATGCGCGGAGCCTTTTTTTGCCATCTCTTTCTCCGTGACTTCCTTTTACAGTCAGGCAACCTGAGCTCGCTGGACACCGCAGTGTCCGCGAAGTGGGTGGATGATGTCGTTGACACAGTGAGTGATGTTGGCAGTTCCGCGCTGGGGACCATCACGGACAGCTTCCACCTAAATTAGATCAGCGCTCTAAACCCAAGAGTTTCAAGCCGCCGCCCACCCGACCCACAAAAATGACTAAGTCTCAGATCCCTACAACTACCCCTCAGCCAGCTTCAGAAGTGCCAACCTGCACAATTTATTCACCTGCGCCAGTCCAAAGATCTTAACATCTAGGACGGCACCGGCATGATTGGCGATGCCCTTGGCGATGCGTACGAGCACGCTGCAGATCAGATTTCCTTCGTGGCGAATACCGTCATTGACACTGTGGACAGGGATTGCGAAAAAGCCTGTAAGTAAGATCATCGACATGCTGTTCTGCCTCAGAACAGATGTTGTTTTGCGTCTTCTGCATCATGAGCTGCTGCTTCAGACAATGGAAGCGAAAGCATTGAAGGTGATGATGACAGTGACATTACACTAGCAACAGCCATGCTAAAGATTCAAGACTTGATGCAGAGCGCTTTGATTGTTCTTGTGCAGGATCCATTAGGATTCTATCAGAGGGTTAAATTGTAGGGGGGGGCGCCCCCATGTCGTAGATTTGTTGTTGCGCTTGAAGCATTTGGAGAGTACTACTGGGCTTCCAGCTCAGCATTTGGGTGATACTTCTCCTTGAGGTCACGGAAGTACATGCTTGTGAATGGATCTATGATGCCTCCTGCGCCAGGAGATGGCAGTGACCATCCTCCTCCGCGGCTTCACAGACTGGGACGCGGCCTGTCCAGACATGCAATGGCCCAGCATGACAGTGAACTCCAACGGGCTGTACGTCGATTGGGGCAAGCAGTACTGCTACATCAGGCCACGTCTGCTTCGTGCTTGCTCTTCCCCTCACTTTAATGCCTAAGCTGGTCAGTCAAAGCAGCAGAAAGCTGTATACTAGAAAGGAGCGCGCACAGCGCAAGCGCCTTGCGTGAGGAGGTCTTGACTTTGAAGGTGGGGAAGGCAAGCTTTGCTTGTTTAGCAGGGTTCTGCGAACACTTACCCATCTCAAACGTGCAAAAGCGTCATTGCCTGCTGAGATGGTCTTGCTTCTGTCCCTGTGGCCATATTGCTATGACATGATATGATGCTTGACCTGAGTTCCACGGCTCCCCACAGCCAAAGCAGATACTGTAGTTTCTAGAAATGGGGGACCTCAATAGCCCTAAAATACGATAACCCTTACTGTAGGGATCCCTCAAACGAGAACCCCTCATGTTCTGGACCCCTCCATACTGTTTCTTTCGCAGTAATACCCAATATAACCGCCATATACCCCAATATAACCCTCATGTAACCCCAATATGTATATAACCCCAATATTAGACTAGTTTCCAGGTTGTTTTCCATGTCCCTGTATAACCCCAATATCATTCCCCAATATATGTAAGGACCCCGCTAGGTACATTCCTGTCACATTCCTACTATATATTCTTGGGGTTCCCTGTGTTGGAGTCCTCTTTGCAGTCCCTTGAATGTAGGCTCATGGGCCAGAGCATCACCCTCCTGGATTTCGATTTCGGGGAGACGAGCCTGTCTTGGCCAGAGCCGATCAAGACAGTTACGCGTTACGGACTGGAGCCTATCAAGGCTGGGGAGGGCACCGGCAGATAGCTACACCCCTATAGTTCCCTAGTAGTTTCCATTGGGGTGGTTGTCTAAATTATGGTCCTTTTTTGGATCCCTATTATAATACGGCACCTAATATATTTAGGGTACCCCAAAAAGGGACCATAGTTTTGACAACCACCCATTTTCTTTTCTATATATACCTCAACAGCCCTGTATTACTTTATATTACCCTATAATATCCCAGTATTACCCGGGCATAGATTGGAGCTGCTTCGTCTTGTGAAGTTACATCATGTGATAATCAAGGTGCTTTGACGAAAGAGGCAAGTTTCCGTGAATAGGGGGGACCTAAACGTAGACTCCCAAATGCTATGATCTTTCTTCCGAGGATATATACATAAAAGCCCCTATATCTACTGTTATTTACGACCCTTGCGTTTTGTAATATGCCTACCTAGGTCCCTAAACTTGAACCCAGTTTCCATTTCATTTTCCATTTTACTGTACGTTTGATACTCCATTATTTGGGTACTATATCCCTTTAACCCTAAACCCTAACCGCAAAACCCTAGCTGAAACCCTAACCCGTAAACCCTACGCAAAGCCTAATGCTGAGGCAGTAGTGAACATTGGCAGGGAGATCGTGAGCTGCGCCACGGAGGGCTCGGTTACAGACGTTTTCAAGTGCTTCGGCAACAAGCTCCTTGAAGTGGTGCCTCAGCTTATTGGATAGGTGGGGCTTCCTAAAAATTAGGGGTGTACCTTTTTTTGGATCCCTATACGCATTCTAGTATTTTGATGTTGGCATTTGGTGGCAAGTAGGTTCGGGGCTACAAGCGATTTTTAGGGTTTGGGGCATTGGTCGAGTCATGGGCAGGGTGTTACCAGTGCCCGTGCTACGATTCAGATTGCAGCCTTTGCTAGACTTTCTGATGTTGCTCATTACCCCCCATGTAATATAGATACCCCCTATGTAACCCCAATATACTATATAGTAGTTGCCAATTTCTTTCCATTATCATTATATACCCCCTATGTAATCCCCATTCTTTCCATGATGCTTAGGTGCCGCCTCTGAACTTCCTGAATCGCATTGGCGACATGATCCAGGCCCTGACCCCATTACCAGAGTAATGGAAGCGAAATATGAGCTACGGACTAAATTTAGGTTGTAGGTTGGGGGTGACCTATAGGGGACTAAATAGGGTTTTGGGGGGGGGGGGGACCTCTTAAGGGACATACTACAAATTTAGTCCAGGGCTCATATCACCATCATCAAATACTTCTGGAGTCGAGCAGCACCCAGAATCGCGTCTGAGAAACACTTTGCCAGGAGTTTATTGAGGTCTTTGCGCATATTGCCACCGCGGTCATCAACACGATCTTGAAGGAGCCTCGGGACTTGTATATAGTGTGTATATATATATATATGTATACCTCCTCCACTGTCAGGTGCAGTTTTTACAACATTAGTTTCTGAACTACTGGGTTGTCAGAGATTTGTTTGTGAAGGACAGCAGCTCCCTGATCCAGCAAGCTGTGAACTCCAGCTTCCCTGCAGTCGGCTCCCAGCCAGTGGTGCACCACACAGGGAGGAACCTTGTCATCAAGACCCATGCCCAGCGGCGCCCGGGTGCCACGTCAGCGGCCACATCGCATCCACCAAACAGTGCCGCCCAGGTGGGTGCGAAGCTGAAGCGTGCGCGTCGCGACGATGATGATGACGATTCCGATGGTGGTATCACCTTCGAGATTCACGACAACGAGGCGAACTACGCGACCAAGCTCATCACCCAGTTCGCTGGCAAGGAGACAGACACGAGCAGCTGCCTGGCCTTTGCGCCGAAGACCCGGCGCGGGGCCGACAACACAGTGACAAAGCGAGACTGGCAGGTGCGAGCGGAACAGTAGGGTGTACAGAAACATCATGAAACAAAAGCAGTGCTGCTTGCGGTAAACGGACTAGCAGGTCGGGGATTACGGCGATTTCATCCAACTGGAGCCCTGGGCAGCCCCAGGGTAGGCAACAGTTTTTTCTTGCGCTGCTTCTTTGCCCAGTCGAGAAGAGCTTAGGTTCCCTGCGACAACGAATGGATGCAAGAGAACCCTGACAAGTGGGAAGGCTATTCTTTCTACACCTGGGAATCCGCCATCGAGAAATGCGTAACCGTAAGCTACAGCATGTCCACTCAGCCGGTACTTGCTTTTGTGGGGGGCTTGCAATTTGACCTCCTGCCGTCGCCCCTGACGGAGATGGAGACCACGGTGTGCTGGCCAGACAAACAGCCAGGTGAGCTATAGTCTAAACTCCAAGTATCCCTGTTAATCACCCTATATAGTAGTCCCCTATAAAATCTCGATATAATCTGAGTACCCACCTTAACAGATCTATAGTAGTCCCCTGAACATTGCCCTATATATGACCCTATAGCATCCCGCTGAATAACCCCAGAGTAGCCCCCTGTACAATGCCCTACATATGACCCTCTATAGCATCCCCCTTAATCACCCCGCATATAATTCCCTATAGAACCCTGTTTAAGGAGTTTAGGCCAGGTGGGGTGGACCTCAGCGTCCTCCGCACTGTGATCCTATCTGGTGGCGTTCCTCTGCTGTATCAAAATGTGCTGCTGCCCGCTGCAGAGTCGTTATGTGGTAGATGCTAGAGGCCTTTGGTGAAATCTGGCAGGGTTAGAGGTGCTAGAGTAGATCAGACATTCTGCTCTTTGAGAGTAAGGTCCCGCTCTTCAGCCGAACTCTTCGGCTGACCAAACGCTTTGGCAGCAACACGGATTTCAAGCAAGGAAACATCTTCCCCGCACACGAGACGTGGAGGAACCCGATTGGCATTGCGACAGCCCAGCACGGCGTGGAGGACGACAGGTCCTTGGAAGCTATGGACCGGGAGGTGCTTTCGCAATGGAAAAAAGAAACTCAACAAAGACAATAACATAGCAACAGCAACATTCCCAGGAGCAGGAGTTCTCAGTTGTGCTGCGGCTGTCGGGCTGATACGAAGTAGGAAAGTCAATCATGACAAGTTCAGCAGCAAGATAACCATGATGCCCATGACCGGGAGGCACTGCTTCAGAACGAGAGCTACACGAAGAATCGCAAGCCTCCTCCGAAGCACCAGGACCTCCATTGGACCGAGGAGGAGGCCCGGGCCTCCAACCGCCAATGAAATTCCCCCTTTAGATAGAATATAGGGTTTTATATAGGGGTTATATATAGGGGTTATAATGGGATAATGGAAAAGAAAATGGAAACTACTAGAAGTATATTAAGAATCAACGGGAATAGTGGAGAAGGAGAATCAACATAGAAAATGATTGTCAAACAGATATTTCAGGGGGCATAGAGATTATATAGTGGAGTATATTACCTCAATTCCTGAGTTTGTCAGCCGCGGACCCCGACCAGGAAGTTTGAGATTTCTTTTTTGGAGCCCAGTCAACGTGTGTCGCTTGTTCAGTCAAGTCATCAGAGAAAAACCGTGGACGGCGTAGGCGAACTTCAGTGTTCTCCCCATGAAACTACTACCTAAGTTTCCATTGCATTTTCCAGCTTCTTTTCCATTTAATTTGATTCTCCATTATTTTGGGTAGTGCCCCTTTTGTATCCCCCTATATAACGCAAGTTTCCACGTTTTTTGCCGTTGATTCCCCATTATTCCCTTGGGGTGCTTCGGGAGTGGCCCTGTAGGGTTCAGGATTTAGGGTTCAGGGCTTAGGGTTTAGGATTCATGGTTTAAGGTTTGAGGGTTTGGGTTTAGCGTAGGTGCACCTGGCCTCCATGCTCTATGATCGGTACATGAATACGACCATGACAAGCCAGCTCCGGGGACCGGAAGCCAGACGAAAGCTCCGCTTGATGCAGGAAGACCAGGATCCTGGAAGCAATCAGGCCTAGAGAGACACATATATATATATATATGTTTACAATTGGTTATTATTATTACTGTTACTATTATTTCTTATAATGGGTATTATCATTGCTGTTACTATTATTTCTCACATCGTTGTGGGGTTCTAGTTGTTAGATGCTGTCGCCCGCCGGCCCAGCGGCTCTTCTTCCTTTGCGACATGTCGGTCGTGCCTTTTTTTTGTTCCTCAAATCGCCTTTTAGGTGGTTTTCCGGAGCAACCAAAAATCGTCGACCTTCAACCTCCTCTTCCAGACCTAATGGAAGGTTCTGATTACTAACCAACCCCCCCCCGTCCCCCTGACAAATACGATTCTAGATATTCTGAGGTTGCTCAATCAAGTTTCGGAAAACTTGTCTAGGGGGGGTCCCTGAGGAACCCATAACTCCTAAGCTCTACGCCCTACGCCCTCAAACCTAAGACTTTGGATGTATCTGCAATTTCAATCTCATTCTTTGCAGATTCTGGGGTCCATGCCTTCCAGGGCCCTGATTATTCCGTACCCTGTTTAATGTTCATTATTCCGTTCCGGCGGTCTCGGTATACTACCTTTTACCAGAAATGATTGCCAGGGCTGTTCGAATATGCGGTCTTGTCTTATGTAAAATCGATACCTTCTGGCGTGCTCAAACCCTGAGAACCGGAATGGAATTGGTTTCTGGTCAAAAAGCTTAATTTGGTATAGTTGGATGTATACGGGCCAAACTGTAGCAACCAGCTGTTGCAGGATGTCGCCTCCGCCGAGTTGCCTGGCACCGGCGGGGAAGCAAGACCCGTAACTAAAGCTCTCAATCTTTGCCACATGTCAGATGTACAATTCTGCTAGGAATACATGTGCACATGTCGAACATGCTAAGTAGCTTTGAACCTGAGTGCGAATACCGCACATTACTTTGGCTCAAGACCCCCGGACTTCAGTGCACGGGTGCTCAACAGC